GATGAGGGCTTCCAGCTCCGCCCACAGCCCCCTCCACAGCCTCCGCGTCTCCTCCAGCTCCTTCTTCTCCTTCCGCGTTTCCCTCCCCCGCCCTCAGCGTCGCGTCCACGGCTGCCCTCTCCTGCTCCCACAGCTCCGTTAGCGTCCTGGTCGCCCCCCACCCCCGCCCGCCTCATCTCCCCCCTGTTCGGCACCTGTGGCCCCCTCTTCCTCCTTTCCCTGTAAACAACAAGGAAGCTCGCTCAGCTCAGGAAATGTGCTTCTCACCTCCTAAGTCCTCATTGCATTATCATTTCATTAATATCATTTAGCAGACACTCTTCTCCAGAATGGCTTTCATAGGTTAAAATCTTACCATTTATACAGCTGGATATTTACCAAGGCAATTGTGGGGTAAGTACCTTGCCTAAGGGTACAACAGCAGTGCCCCAGCAGGGAATCAAACCAGCAGCCTTTCGGTTACGGTTCCCTTCCCTGCCCCTTACCACTACTCCACCCTGCCACCCCAAGACCTGTCCCACCTCTTACCTCTTACATTGCATTACATTAACCAAGTATACATGGTGGAGCATGCAAGCTGTAAGGACACTGAACAGGAAATCTAAAAGCAACAGATGGCCTTTGCTGCAGGGGACCCGAGGCACCATGTAAAGACCAGTCACAACCTGAGCTGGGAGTGTAAATGCCGGCCTCCGGAGGACTTTGCGTAATTCATTTGCATGGCAGACACACTTGCCCCGGGATGACTTGCTCGCACCACGAGTTACTCATTTACAGCTAGATATCCTCTGACGCAGCCCAGGTGAGGCAGGCCACTGGAGGGCGCAATAGCAGTGCCCCGTCTCAGATTTGACGCTGAAGCGCCTCCCCCACGAAAAGCCTGAAAGGGTAGGAGGCGTTCCTGTGTGGAGCTCGTGCGTAGGTTTTGGGAGGAGGAACAGGGTGGGGGCGCAAGGGCAGCCAGATCGGCAGTAGAGGCCCATTCTAAATACAACTCATGTTTATTTATCATGTGTCACTGTAGCACCTTTCAAGTTCAAGCCTAACCTTAGCAACAGCACATACACAAATGAATGGCTGCCTATTAGTTACTGGCCCTCCCTATTCCAAGTTGTTGGCACGTGGCTGATCCAATTAGTTGGCACGTCACAAAAGGCCTATTGCATTTTTTGCTTGACAACCTTGTAGTGTCACCTACATTTTAAATGCATATATTAATAGGCGAATATTAACCCGCTCTCGTGAAGTACCGTGCTCTAATGCTGAATAAATAAAAAAAGATATTTTGCCGATATTGTTAGACTTACCCTGATGCGGAAACAGTTTAGAAAGCAATCCATTGTTTATTTATTTTTTTGGTCACCATGAATGAATGATTTTGCCAGAATAAATTCTTCTGGAGTAATGATAAAAGGTGACTTTTCCATATATTGCAAGAATATGTCTTGCCATAATTGTGAGGTCAGTGTCGCTATTATTACACCTTGCCGTTCAGTCACATGCTGTATAGATCAGAAACGTGTCCATTATGATTCATACATAGCCAGCAGCCGTCCAGACAGACACTGTGTTGTGCGTTCTGGCTGCGTCACAATTAGCAGCTGCTAGTCGTAGTACATTTACACTTAGATTTACATTTATTCATTTGGCAGACGCTTTTATCCAAAGCACAAGTGAGGTACAACACAAGAAAAACCCCGTCATGGATCAACAAAGGCTCAACGTGGATCAACAAAGTTTTCACAAACATGAATAGCTTGCTAGCTATTCCTTGTGTATTCAAGATCTTGCCAATAGGGAGAGAAAACCGATTCGTCCATTTATGGCTGTGCATTCACTGGCAATTGAAAGAAGACTTTTAGTATTTTACATTTGTCAGATTGATTGTCAGAGTGATGTGCCACACAGCAGTCCTCAGTATTGATGGTGTGGACACCCGACTACTCATCTCGTTAACTTTATGTGGAAATGAATTCAGAAGCAAGGTAAATAAAAATGTGCCACCACAGCATCCTCTTAAAATTGTAACACAAAATGAAAACGCACATATGTATACTTTTGAACGATCCCAAACGACTGTATGAAAAATTGTTCACAGGGCCTCAAACGGGGGCTAAGGGAACTAGTGTACGTAATGTATTCTCATGGGACAGTAGGCTACATTATTTTCAGATGGGCTTAGATGTGTGTAAAACCTAATGTAAATGTAAATATATTATTATTATTATTATTATTATTATTATTATTATTATTATTAAGATGAGATCTTTAAAAAAACGTAATAACGTATACGTGTACTCTTTACTGAGCGAATGAACACGCCGTTTTCCGAAAGACGAAATAGGAGGAGTGTCGCCACGTCCAGGTGCCTAACTCCGCCCAACCCGGAAGAGTCAGTGAAAATGTGTAGCGCTCGGTGACGTGGTATTGCAAACCGTCCAGAAGTGGCCTGATTCGTACGCTTCTGCAGTCTGAATCACATCCGGATTTTGAGGTAAATAAACGCATTTCGGGGACCGACGTTCTCGGATAGGACATAGCGCATTTGATCCCAGGAGTGCGAGACAGAGGAGAGCGGACAGGAGAGGCGAGCGTTGCAGGGCCTGGCATCCTCTCTCCGGCTAAAGCAATACCAGTCTCGCCGCGGCGGTTTATAGGAACCACCGCTGCAATTCCTTTTTTTACCTGGACTAATATATTGTTTCTCGGTAACTTTACAACAGAGGTTTATGGATCCGTACGTTTCACTGGTAATTGATATGAGAGGGGGATGCAGGACAACGAACTAACGTATGCGACTGATCGAGATCATCTGTCACAATATTATATAGCTACGTCCACAATACACTCGCAAAACCTGCCTTGCTACATTCTTATCACTCGTTGTCAAGATGCTGGAAACTTGAAGGCAAATCAGGCGACCAAATTATTAACATTTACCGTCTGTCCAGAGTGTCAACCTACTCATAAAATCAATATTTAAGCTTTGATTAAAACTTAACCAGGTAAATACACATCGCCGTCTCAATGGCAACGCCGTTCTGCCGCGGTGTCTGTCTTTAAACTTACGCAGTCTCCTTTCGCCGAGTATACTTAGTTTTATATAACTCATTTGGGCTCATGGAATCGTGTTTATTGAGCGTGGCCACGTCTTCCCCGATAAATAATTATGGAAATCCGTTTGACAGGGATTGTCATGAGGCCGGAAGCGCCCTTTGAGAAGTTTGCTGGCGGCGCGTTGGGGATGTGCGTCCTGGCTCTCTGTCTGCTGTCCCAGACAGAGGGGGCGGTGAAGTACAAGCCAGGGGACCCGGTGACTCTCTATGTCAACAAGGTCGGACCCTACCACAATCCGCAGGAAACCTACCACTACTACACCCTGCCTGTCTGCAGACCCAAAGAGGTCAGTGAGCTTGCAGTTTGGTCAAGTCGACCTGCCCTTGTACTTTACTGGAATATCCTGATTGCCTCTGTGTGTGTTGCTGTGTCACTGATTGGAGCTATATGCGCAGCTGTATGCCCCTGTGTTAGTGATAAGATGCACTGTATGCGTGTGTGAGTATTGTGTCAGTGATTGTCATTGTGTTGCCTTGTTACTGAATAGAAGAATATGTGTGACCACGTGTGAAAGTATATGACAGTACATGACCATGTGTGACCGTTTGTGACGGTGTATGACCATGTATGTGTGTGGCTATGTGTGTGACCACATATGACAGTATAAACAGTATATGACTGCGTCTGACCATTTATGGCCATGTTTCGACTGCATTTGACTGTTTGTCCGTGTGTGATCATGTACAACCATGTGTGACTGTGACAGTGCGTGACCAAGTGTGACTGTGTGTGACCGTGTATGACCACGTGTGACCGTTTGTCACCGTGTGCCTCACAGGTGCGGCACAAGGCCATGAGCCTGGGGGAGGTGCTGGATGGGGACAGGATGGCTGAGTCGCTGTACGGCATCCGCTTCAAGGAGAACACCGAGCGACGAACACTGTGCCAGCTGTCCCTGACCGAGAAAGAGGTGCAGCGCCCCGTTCTGTGGTGAAACGGTGCTTCAGCTTTTGGTCCTGCTCTGAACGCCAACTCACCAAGAACGCTGCACTTTGTGGGCGAGGAGGCAGTCTCAGAACAGACATTGTGACATTGAGAGTCTCTTTGTAGAAGTTAATTGAGCTGACAGGCTCAAGTGAAAGGGAGGTATTTGAAAGTGCTGCTGTTGTGTTTTGTGTGTGTGTGGGTGAGGGGGGTGGATGTGGTGGAGTTGTAGAGTTCACCTGGAGTTCACATTGGTTTGTGCTGTCTCTCTCCCTCAGGTGGAACAGCTCCGTGAGGCGATAGAGGAGCTCTATTATTTTGAGTTTGTCCTGGATGAAATTCCCATCTGGGGCTTTGTGGGATACATGGAGGAGAGTGGCTTCCTGCCTCACAGCCATAAGGTGCGTTCCTGACTGCCTGTTTGTCTGTTTGTCTTTCCCTGTGCATGTCTCATGTCTGTCTCACGGTTTTTGTTTCTCTGTCTTTTTTTCTATGAGTCTGTCTGACTATCTGTCAATGAGTTTGTCTCCCATTGGCTGTCTCCACGTGCGATCCGGCCCCCACATCTGACTCCCTCCGCCTCCTCCTCTGTCCTCGCAGGTGGGGCTGTGGACCCACCTGGACTTCAACATCGAGTACAACGGCGACTCGGTGATCTTCGCCAACGTGTCGGTGAAGGACGTGAAGCCCGTGCCGCTGGAGGAGGGCGCGGGGGCGGGCGGCGGCCTGGCGCTCACCCACACCTACAGCGTGCGCTGGTTCGAGAGCCCCCTGCCCTACGAGCGGCGGGCCGAGCGGCTGCAGGACTACTCCTTCTTCCCCAAGACCCTGGAGATCCACTGGCTGTCCATCATCAACTCCCTGGTGCTGGTGGTCCTCCTGCTGGGCTTCGTCATCATCATCCTCATGAGGGTGCTGAAGAACGACTTCGCCAGGTGACGCGCTCCGGTCGAGCTGTGCCCCAGCGGGGAATCGAACCCGCAAGCTTTTAGTCACGAGCCCTATTCCTTACCACTATGCTACACTGCTGCCTCTACTACATGTGCTTTCCCAAATGCCCCCTAAACCACTGTGAAACTACTCCTTAGTTTTACTTTTATTAATTTGCACAAAAACATACAGGGAAGAAAGAAACATTACTTAGAAAAGTGACACGGTTGGGGATGCGGTCAAGTAGCGGTCACCCGGGGCTGTCCGTGCTCAGTGTTTCGTCGCTCCTACCCGCAGGTACAACGTGGACGAGGAGGGCGCCTGTGATGACCTGGACCAGGGGGACAACGGCTGGAAGATCATCCACACGGACGTCTTCCGCTTCCCGCCCTACAAGAGCCTGCTCTGCGCCATCCTGGGGGTGGGAGCGCAGTTCCTCACTCTCGCCACAGGTGGGGGCTATACTCGTTATACTCGTGCCTTACTCACAGGGATACTTTACATGGAACCAAAATGCCACTGATCCAGAAGCTGAATCAGGTTGTGTTAAATTATCCTAGGTATGAAAAACAGAAATAATTACATTACATTACATTAAGAGCTTACACTCTTATCCAGAGCATTTTCCATGTGTTACAATTTACATATTATCCATTTATATAGTTGGATATTTACTGAGGAAATTTTGGGTTTCCTCAGTAGAGTACCTTGCCCAAGGTTACAACTGCAGTGCCCTCACAGGGAATCAAACTGACAGCCCTACTGATTACCACTTCACCACACTGCCACCCACATAGGTTACAATTTTATCCATTTATATAGCTGGATATTTACTGAAGTAATTGTGGGTTACATACCTTGCCCAAGGGTACAACAGCAGTTCCCCAGCAGGAGATTGAACCAGCAAGCTTTTGGTTACGAGTCCTGCTCCTTACCACTATGCTACACTGCTGCCTCCACTACATGTGCTTTTTCAAAAGCCCCCTAAACCACTGTGAGGCTACTCCTTAGGTATACTTTTATTAATTTGCACAAAAACATACAGATAAGAAAGAAGCATTACTTAGAAAAGTGACACGAAGATTGTGCCAGTGAGATAAAAACCCAAAATGGGCTTAATGACATCTCACCATAAATTCAACTCAGTTACTACAAAAGTAAACAAAACAGTAAAAACAAAGAGACTGATTTGAGATACAGAAAACAATATAAGTTCAATCCACAAAACAGTAAAGAAATATAAATGAGGTAAAATAATCAATCAATGAAATTAGTCAATCAATCAATGGTTATTGGATACAGCGCACCAAATAAATGGAACAGAGCACACCTTAGAGCACCTTGAAGAGAAACAATGGAAGGCACAGGGCATATGACTGGAAATGGAATTCTGGAAACTGAAGAAAGGTCACTTCAGTGATCGCTGCAGAGGCAGTAGTGTGTGACAAAGAGCTGCATGGTTATTGGACAGATATGTGTCCTATTGGAAGGCCCCACAGTGATGTCATGGCTTACTACCGCAGCGACTGGCTTCTGAGAGATGAGGAGACTTGTGCATGTCCATGAAAAACATGGACACCTTCCACAGATTGGAATGAAGGATTGTGTTCTTCTTCCTCATCAGGGTGCTTAAGAAGACAAGAATGGGTTAAAGCAGCTGAGGTTAAGTTACTCCATTCTTCCCGTGTCCATGACATCTGACCTGTCGCTTCTTCCTCTGGCTGCCGTAGGGATCATCGTCATGGCGCTGCTGGGGATGTTCAACGTGCATCGCCACGGCGCCATCAACTCTGCAGCGATTGTGCTGTACGCCCTGACCAGCTGCGTGTCGGGGTACTGCTCCTGCAACTTCTACACGCAGATCCACGGCCAGCGCTGGGTCTGGAACATCATCCTCACCTCCTCCCTCTTCTCAGGTACCTGTGTGTGAGTTTGTGAGTGAGTGAGTGAGTGTGTGTGTGTGTGTGTGTGTGAGTGTGTGTGCGTGAGTGTGTGTGTGTGAGTATGTGTGAGTGTGTGTGTGTGTGTGGGTGTGAGAGTGTGGGTATGTGCTAATGTGTGAGTGTCTGTTTGCGGTTAACATCCTCTCACTGGTGCAGGATGGCTCTATGAGACAGTAAACCCAGGGAAAGCGCTTGGTTCGTTGTGCATGTCTGAGTCTGCCTTGCAAGCACATGGTGTATGTCTTTTGTGTGTCCGACTAAATATTTTACTGTGCCGGGGTATTTTCAAATATGTTTTAATTATTTCCAGAAAACTTAGTTAAAAAGTCGTTTCAGGCCCAACGTGAATTCATAATTGTGAGGTAAATCACACGTCTTTTTCAGAGAGTAGCTGTTAGTCTGTCTCATTACATTACATTATTGTCATTTCACAGAGCAAGTTACACAGGTTACAATTGTATCTATTTGTAGAGCTGGATATTTACTGAGGCAATTGCAGGTTAAGTACTTGGCCCCGGGGTACAACAGCGGTGCCCCGGCAGGGGATTGAACCGGCAGCCTTCTGGTTACGAGCCCCTTTCCTCCCCCCGCAGCGCCCCTCTTCCTGACCTGGAGCGTGGTGAACTCGGTGCACTGGTGGAGCGGCTCCACCCAGGCGCTGCCCGTCTCCACCGTGCTGCTGCTGCTGGCCGTGTGGGCGCTGGTGGGCTTCCCCCTCGCCGTCATCGGCGGCATCGTGGGCAAGAACAAGGCGGGCGGCTTCCAGGCGCCCTGCCGGACCCGCAACATCGCCCGGCAGATCCCCCGGCAGCCGTGGTACAAGCACGCCACCGTGCACATGGCCATCGGGGGCTTCCTCCCCTTCAGGTGGGCCCCCTCAACACCCCCGACGCCCTGATCGCGCACACCATCTCAGCCTTTACACGTCACAGGTTTATGCTGTTTGATGTTTGCTGGCACAGTTGTGGTTAAGTTCTGGTTTCGAAATGATAGCCTTCTGGTAAGTCAGTTCCCTAACCGCTGTGCGGCTCCACTGTGTTTTGTGTGAATACACTTTAGTATGGTCTCTGTGTTGTGTGTGTGTAGTCTCTCTGTCTTGTCTGTGTTGTAAATGGGTATATGCATATGAACCATGTGGCCTGCATTATACTGTTCTATGTTCCTAAGCAGGATGACTGTGGTTTCTTTTCTCAATGTTAGACTAGTATCTGTCTCTAACTGCAGGAACAGGATGTTTCTCAGCGCAGTAACAGGATCTCTGTGTGCAGTGTCAATAGCCCTCTCCCTCTGTGTCTCAGTGCAGTAACAGGATCTCTCAGCGCAATATCAAGAACTCTTTCTGCATGCAGCGTCAGTGACCTTCACTCTCTGTCTCCCAGCGCAGTAACAGGATCTCTCTCAGTGCAGTATCAGGAACTCTTTTTGTGTGTAGTGTCGGTAGCCCTCTCCCTCTGTTTTTTTTTCAGCGCCATCTCGGTGGAGCTGTACTACATCTTCGCGACGGTGTGGGGCCGCGAGCACTACACGCTGTACGGCATCCTGCTGTGCGTCTTCGCCATCCTGCTGTCGGTGGGCGCCTGCATCTCGGTGGCGCTGACCTACTTCCTGCTGTCGGGGGAGGACTACCGCTGGTGGTGGCGCAGCGTGCTGAGCACCGGCTCCACGGGCCTCTTCATCTTCGTCTACTCCGTCTTCTACTACCGCAACCGCTCCAGCATGAGTGGCCTGGTGCAGAGCGTGGAGTTCTTCGGCTACTCGCTGCTCACCGCCTTCGTCTTCTCCCTCATGCTGGGCACCGTGTCCTTCGCCGCCTCGCTCACCTTCATCCGCTACATCTACCGCAGCCTCAAGATGGACTGAGGAGGCGGGGCCGGTGTAGGGGGAAAGGGGGGTGGGGAAAAGCGCTACACCTAGCGCAGCCTCAAGGTGGACTGAGGGGCGGGGCTGGGGCGGGGCTAGGGTGGGAAAGGGGGTGGGGAAGAGCGCTACATCTACCACAGCCTTCAAGACGGACTGAGGGGGTGTGACTAGGGTGGGGTTGGGGTGGGAATGGCGTGGGGCGAGGGGAGGGATGGGGCAGGCTTATGGAGCAACTGTGGTGGAGCAACATGCTACATCAACCACAACCTCAAAATGGACGTAGGGGCAAGTTTTGGGTGGGAATGGGGTTGGGCCAATGTGCTACATCTACCACAGCCTCAAGATAATCTAAGGGGAGGGAGGGGGCAGGCTTTGGGTGGGATTGGGGTGGGACAATATGCTTCATCTACCACAACAACAATGGGCTAACAGATAGGAGGAGTTGTGGGGAGGGGTGGGGCAGCATCCTCTGAGCATACCGCAGCCTTAAAAAGGCAGAACAGAGACGGGATCAAGTCCATAGCAAGGAGGGATCAAGGCAGGAGCAAGGCAGGGTGAGAGGGTATCTGCTATATTAGCTGCAGGTGAGAGAAAGGACTGCAGATCGGTATTTCTTTCAAACAAGCGCAGTGTTTTTGCAGTCTGACCAAAAACAGAAGGTCTTCAGTTGACCAGTCGCGGCTGGCTTTTTATAAGTCATGGTAAAGCCCGCAGCTAGTGGTCGAGAGGAAATTGTGACCACATTTCAAACACTGCCTCATAGTCATCCTGACCACAGATCAACTTGCGATTGACAGCCTTTTTAAGAAGTTTGTAGGTGGTCAGGACAACCTCTCCAATCAAATGCCTTAAACATATAAACTAAGATCACAAGTGCATCGTTGGAGGGTTGTCCTTTATTACAATTGCAGCAAATACACGTTTATTCTTAAAACGGATAGAAATGCAAACGTAGTATTCATAAGAGGACATCTTGTCAATTAAAAATCAAAGGCATAGGAATGCCATAAAGACACTAACGATATCATGTAATTGCTTAAATATTGTACAATAATGTGGTCCGTTTTGATGCTGTGGTCACTGTCATATCGCTACCTGTCAAACAGCACAGTCTTTAGGTGGTCAATCCCACAAAAACACAGCCTTAGATACCGGCCGGGATAGAGGTGGCAGGAGTGGTTGGATTTTAAAGTACTGTATGTATCTGAACACCTAGTGGGGGGAAGAAGGAGACCCATTAGCGAATGTGTATGTGTGTATGCGCGTGTCTGTGTGTGTGTGTGTGTGTGTGTGTGT